CCGCATAGCATGATATAAAAGGCCCTGAGATGGCAAATGTAACAAAACAATCGAGAAAACAAATAGCCTTTTTATTTATGTACAAAACAATAAACTAAAAACAAATATGATAAACAGCAATGAACTTCAACCACTGAATTACAGGCTCAATGTTGTATTTTTTGTTTACCTTTGTACTCTATCTCATATGCTATAAATATGTTTTGATATGCATCATCAACTATTTTCTAGCTAATAAAAAAAATCTATCATAAACAAAATTATCTGAGTCATTGGATTTCATGATAATTGACAACTTTGGTAACAATAAGTTAATTAAAAAGGTCTCCTAAGATGCACCTGTCACTAGAATGAAAATACCAATCATAGATCTTGTAGTTAATCTTTATTACTTTTAGTGGAAATTAATGATGTGGAACTTCATAATCGGTATACAAAATAATTGTTTGGATCGAAACATGTTAATAGGCCAGTGTACTGTAGCCATAGTTAAATAAGACTGCTTGTGAACATAAAGATCACTCCTAATTATACCTACATTGTATTGTTCTTGTCCATTGTTGTCATTGCCATTACAGTATAACTAAATTATCACCACAAGGCCATATTTGCTAGCCTTGGCTTATTGCAAGTTTAGACCCTTGACTTGAAGATGTCTTCTATTCCAAATCCCTCATTACGTTTGCTTGTATTAGGATGCTTAAAATATAAATATGGACATTTGCAATTTCTTTTACAAATGCCAGCAATGCATCTTTTTAAGTTTTAGTATAGATACATTTAATTTGTTTTGGTTTTTTTAAAGGTCAAAATTGAATAACATTTTCAGTACATTTTACTCTTTCAGGACAAATGCTAATTTTGAATCCGGATAGATTTTAAACAGACAAAACTTGTCCTTTTACATGATAGAAATGTTACTGTAAAGCTCATTAATTTCAATATTACCTTGTTTCTCATTTACCTCTTTCTAGCAAACTTCACATTATAGGATTTTGTGCTTTCTAGTAAACTTTGTTGATGTGTGTTTATGTAAGAGAGCATCCAAGTTTTACATACTTACAGTGCTTGAATAGTGTAAACTTCCCCCCTTAAACCATACACCATTACACCATGCACCATATACACCATTTAACCATTTACCATACACCATTCCTCTTGACCGTTTCCCATTTGAATCATACAAGATTTGTGCATTTCAAAATTACCCACAATGTAATGTGTTGATTGAATTGGAACTAAAATTTAAAAGGCTGATACAACATTCCTACTGCACCATACACCTGTACCCCATGCACTATACACAATTCCCCATTCGGTCATACACCGTTACACCGTACATGTTTTATTGGGAGGTTTTCATCATTCAAGGGCTGTATAACATTTTTATTCATATCTGCTCACAAAAGTGGTGTAATTATATGGTTCCTGAAAATTAGTTGTTTTTCAGTATACTGTTACAGACCAGATTCAAGCAAGCATACCATATCTTTTAATTACTGTTGAATTCAACCTGTTTCTCATTTGATCACAACTAGATCATATTCTGGTAAAAAGGAAAGATTATGATTTGTATTTAGTAATACAATGTATAGCTTTGTTGCAATCAATGCTATTTTTGAAAAAGAAGGTAATATTCTACAGGTGCTTTATGTGTCAGATGTTTTGCATACAAATAGAATTACAAACAATGCACAGGACAAATTGTTTGTCAGACTTGCATTCATGATGCATTCATGTGTATAGCTTTACCGAATGAATTCACATTTTAGAGGTATAATGGTGCATAGATGAAATTTTTTAATGACATGCAATATTAATTCTTAATTGCTTTTGATATACTTTTATAATTACAGGTTGTGAAAGTTGGTGTAACTTGTACAAGATATGTGACTTTGAGGAATGTAAGACCTTGGGCAGTTCATTCTTACAAAAATAGCAGGGGAAGAGGAGGTGATACACAAGCAGTAAGGGTTTGTATTTACATATACTTAATGGCACCTTTAATCTGTTGGTACAAGGACAATGGTTAACAGAGCTTGGTTTAATCCAAACTTTCTATGAACTGCTCAGACCAAGTCTGGAATAACTGTTGGTTATTCATCTTTTCAGGAGTAGGCACTCCTGTTAAAGAATTGGAAGCTTGGTGTGTTCATTTCAGGTCTTAAGGTATGAATTTCCATCAAAATCCAAACTTTTATTACTGTATTACTATAATAGACAGAAGCAGTGAACAGCAAAAATGATACCCAATAAAAGATCCATAATAATACCAGCATGACTGAAAACATCAGTTGACATACTAAACCAAACTTGTTGCAATGTTTATTTTAGAATGGTGAATTATAATACTGGACATCCTATTAATTTCTAAACTGCCTATTGCATTACATGTATATCAAAAGTTAAAATGCTATATATGTCTCAATCTTATTGTTATAATCTTGTTTTCCTATATCTGTTATCTGTAAAGTCAAAACAAGATAATTCATCATAAGCCTATTTGGATGGCTGAATCATCCTGCTTAATGTACATTATATTTTATGTATTCAGGTTGCACACTTAATTACTATTCATTTTAGGGATTATTGCCCTAAAGTGACATTTCCCCCTTTTAAATATACAGGTTAGTGCTTATAAATTAATCTTGAAAACTGTAATAGACAGACAGAAACTGTAAACAGCAAATATGATCAGTAGAACAGGATGTAGGAAATGTCGCTGAAACCATCAGTTGACTTCTTGTAGGAAATGAGTTCCCTTTAATGATGATTTAAAATTGAATTTTGATCAATTTTAGCATTTCTGAAACATTTTTACTATTCTCTTTTAAAGTATAATATTGGTTAAGTTATATAATAAAGTCCATTAAAACAATCCAAAAATCATAGACTAATGATGTTGTTGATGCATAATGTATAGTAAATATCATCAGTTACTTTTAAACCTTCCACATTTTAATGTGTCTGTTCATAACCAGGAACCTTGTCTGTCTTCTTAAGCTTTATCTTAATGTTTTCTCCTAGAAAGATTTTGGTGTTGATGGCACATCTTTGTTAGGCTTAGTTAAATTTATGTTAAACTTGTCTAGACATAAGAAGATTCAGAATTTGACAGATGGATACACATAGTTCAATATTAGATTAATATCACTGAACTCACTGACATTTGTATGCACTATTGAGCATCAATGAAGAGACATTTATTGTCGAAATGGGCATCTGGTGCCTAAAAATTGGTACTGTTAATGTTATAACTACCACTGGGTCCATGCCTCTGCTGGTGGACTGTTAGTCCCCAAGGGTATCAGCCCAGCCTAGTAGCCAGTATTTGGGTACTGGCATGAAAATACAGATTTTTTGTTATCGAAATTTGCTGTTACAAAATTTTAGAAATTATTTGAAATTAAGGAATATATCTCCCTCATGCAAAGCTCTGATTCCTTGCCTGGCTTCGGCTTTAACTTTTGTGACCATTTTGGATTATAGCTCTTCATCTTTGTAATAAGCTTTGGATTTTCAAATATTTTGGCCTCGAGTATCACTGAAGACACATTTATTGTCGAAATGGGCAACTGGTGCAAAAAAGTTGGTACCATTAAATGTTATTACCGGTACCTGATAAACACTTACTTGTACATTTGTTCACACTTATATATACCTGACACTTATTTGTACATTTTGTTTTTTGAGGTAAAGTGGTCATAAAACATTTCATATTGCTTTCTGTATTTGTTTTTCATGCTACACAAACCTTAGCAAGTCAGCAGCTGTGTTAAGAATTGTTTAAGTTTGTGATTAGGTCAGTTTAAAAGAAATGTTATTATGTTAAATTATTGCACAGGACTTAAACTGTGTATACATTGGAATACATTAGACTTAGTTTCATTTATTGTACTGTCTTCAGGACGTCAATCTTTTCATTTTGTCAAGTGTACAGATAGTCATAAAGTATTGCCATTTAAATCTTATTATCTGCATTATACTGTCCAAAATAACATACATGTGATACTGTGTCAGCAGTTTGTCTTCTTATTCAGTAAAGAAAGTTTCCCTCAATGAAATAATTTATATGAATTAAATAGATTTACATATTTTGAAACTGTCTAAATAAATTTAAAATAAAGAAGAAAACTTTAATATTGACAACAATTTAGTAACATATAGTTTCAAAATTTAAACTTTAATTTGATTAAAAAAAAAATTCTTCCAAGTTAAGTTTAAGCCAAATATATTCCAACAAATAAAAGTGTCAATTTAGTTTTGAACATTTCAGCATTGAAATATGTTATTTACTCTCAATTGAACTTCTATTGGTTCCAAATTTAACGCCCAGCAGTTTCGCAAGATTCCATCATATAACTCATTTTAGTTTTATTCATAATTTTGTAAACTAAATAAGATTATGTTAGTTCTTGACTTTATGATACAAGATATTTATATTTAGAGCATCAATTGAACTAGTTGTTTCTATTTGTTTAATAAAAGATACCCGTCAGCTCACATCTGAACAATTTCTAAATAACATCAATATTCAATTAATGTGAATGATCTTTTGAAGATTATAGACCTCAATTGGTACATTTGACAGGACATAATTAAATTTTCAATGAGAAAACTTGAAATGATCTAGCGTTACAGTTTCCAGTCACTGACTTATAATAACCCTTATGGAAAAATAAGGCTTCTTGCAAATATTTGCGGCAATGTTGCTGCAAATATTTGCGGCAATATTGCTGCAAATATTCATTTTTCGTATGCAAATTAGTTTTCTTGCAAACAGTTGCTGCAATATTGCAGCAACAATTTGCGGCAATATTGCAGCAAATGTTTGCGGGAAAATCAGTAGCTATGATTGTTGCAGCAATATTGCGGCAAATTCATTAGCTGCAATGTTGCAGCAATATTGCAGGAAAATTAATTTCTTGCAATATTGCAGCAATATTGCAGCAAATCTTTCAACAATTTCAGTTGAAAAATTAGGAATTAAAAACTAAGCATTTAAAAAAGTATGATTTAATAATAAAACAAAATTTTCTCTGTCCTCTGTAGGTTGTTGTGTTACATATCTGTGTATCCTTTAGTTCTGTTTCTCTGTACTCACTGTCCTTAAAGTTGAATTTTCTGATTTCAAATACTGCAAAATAAAAGTTGAAGAATTTAGCATACATTAAAAGAATAACTAAACATTATAAAGATATAAAGATATAAGTTACTACTATATATTGTAAATTCTGGACTTGTAAAATGAAAATAACTCTTTATAAAGAGATGATTACAGACCAATTTTTCCAGCATTTGTTTCACTTAAAGGGTCAATGTCTAAAAGTTATCAAGTCCTTCTAGAAATTGCATATTACTATACATTTAACCTTATGCCAGTACTAGGTTGTTATTGCTTTTTTGAATATTTGTTTTTCATTGAACTATAACATAATTGGTCTTGTCTATTCTTTAAAATTTTTGTGATTAGTTGTGTATATATAAAAGCTAAATATTGTTGCCATTTGTTGAAAGACCTCTTATTGGCAGTCAAATCACAGATCTCTAATTTAATACCAAACTGCTTTTATTAGAAGATTTCTTGTTTCAATTTAAGTAATGTACTTTCTAAAACACATAGTCTTAAATAGATTTAAAAAAATATCTCCTGACTTACACAATTTTAATAATATTCATGTGCATAAATCTATTGTCTTTTACAAATTTGTCAACTCTATTAAGTTAAGAAAACTCTTTGAATATCACTATTTTGAACTGTAAGAGCAAGCACTTATTCAAAATGGTGGACATTCAACTCCATTGTACTTACCAAAAGATGTTATCCAAATTATGTGTAAACACCAATCTTCCTAAATCCAAGAGTCATGTCAACTGAAGGCTATCATATGCACTATCCAGTGTCAATAGAATTAATTGGAACTTTTGGATCTAAATCCATTGTAAAATTCATATTACTTTGTTCATGATAGAAGACATCTTTGTTTGTTGTATTGCATGTTCATATCCAGTTCAAATTTTGAATATGTTGATCAAGGTTGCTTAGGGTATTGTGACAGTGTGATCCCTTTGAAATTTGCCCCTAATTATAAATATCAATTGCCTAAATCTTGAATATTTGTTATATATTATAATAAAAAAATAATTATATATATATATTTTTTTTTATCTTTGATGTTATAAGTTATAATGGAAATAAATACAAAGAAGAAATGCTCTACCCTTAATTTGGCCTCAAACTCTGTGTACATTAATTTATGGTACTTCCTGTCTTTACCACTACACAGAGATAAATTGAAACCAGATGGCACATTACATTTCTATCACCAGCTCATATTACTAATTGAGATGAGAAAGATAATTTGTGTATACATAGTTTTAAAATAATGATACTAGAAATTAAACAAAATGCAACCTGCAGGTGAGGCTAAATTCATTTGATGGAAAATATTAGAATTAAAAATATTGTTCATAGAAAAATGTCACAAAAAATTGACAAAAAAGCATAATAAAACATGTAGAACAAAAATTATTATGACTCAAGTATTTAGATTAAACTTGTTGAAATAAATACCAAAGTATTCTTGAAATTCTTTCCTTACAAAATATCATATAAATGTGATGTACAGTTTAGGAATTCTAAAAATATAAGCATTGTTATTTGAAGATTTATTTAAAATAAATTATTCAAATATCCAGATATTTCTGAGTAAAATAAAGTATGACGACAACAAATTTAGATAGAAGTATCCATAACCAAATGTTCAAAGAAACAATATGTTGTGTATTATTTGAACCTTAAATCTTAAAACAAATAATCATATGTAATATTTTAAAATGCTTGAAATATTGGTGCAAACTATCTGATTGTCTGACATTATTAAAGAAACTTTTCTTGCAAAGTTGTTGCAAAAAGTCATTCCTTAAATAATAAAAGAAAAGGTTCCTGCAACTTTCTAGCAAACAAATTCTTTCTTGCAACATTGCAGCAAACTTGCTGCAATTTTCTTGCAAACAAATTTTGTTGCAGTAACATTGCGAGAATGTTGCAGGTAGCTGCGACAACCTGCAACTTTCTTGCAAACACTTCTTGCAAACAAATATGTTTGCTGCAATATTGCCGCTATATTGTTGCAATATTGCAGCAAACTTTTCATTTCTGTAAGGGAAGTGATAAAGTTGAATTCACTTATCTTACTTAGCCTAAATATAGCAAAGATGGGTCAGTGTCACTATGACTGACATTTTAGCACTTAAGGGGCCTAATAAGCATGCAGTCATTGACTTTTCAAAGCTATTCCTATCGTTTAAAGAAACTGAACCAATATTTATTCCTTTTGCACAATGCAATTTAATTTTGATTAAAGGGATAGTAGCTGCAATTTCAACGACATTATAACAAAGATTTGAAGCTATGTACCTAAAATTCATAATAAATAAGATTGCTGGAATGTTTACATAAACTACATAAGTGTTAATAATTCATAATTAATATGGTGTTGCGTATCTATTCATCTCATTAATTATGTATCAGGTTTATTTCCCGAATTTTCCCCACACAGTAAGTGAAATGACCCAGATATATATTGATATGAACATGTGCTTTTTGGTCTCACAAGTATTTGATTATTTCTTTAAATTGACTGTTCATATTTTATGTCAAATTAATTAAGTAAAAATAACAAAACCCTGTAGATTATTTGAAAAAGTTTCTTTGCAAACCGTCATATTGTTCACTACTTCTGTATGACTAAATTGCCTGTGTGACAGGTTTTTTAAATGATTCCACTAGTAAATGAATTTTTAGTCTGAAAAGGTAATTTTGATCTTAACAGGATCTGAAAAGTCTGAACAATAAATTATACAACTATGTTCAGCTTCTCAGTCAAATTTCTGACTTATCCACTGCAGTAAGTTAAGTACTGTTCAGATAGTTTGCTAGCAGTCATTTCAGAACTGTTCAGTAGCATTTCAGACAATTCTCAATTTTCCAAATTAAAATTTTATCCTTGATTACCTTTTCCAGGAAGTTCCGGAGGGTATAAAATTTGATCATATCTGGCCCTCTTCAAATTTGATTGAAGGTGTCAACTCATCTAAACCTTTGATGAGTTATTGATCAGAAAAAATCTGAAATGGTAAACTATTTTTTTTTTTGGGAGGGAGACTTGTAAGAATATTCTATATTAATTCTTGTCACTAGGATAGAGCCTTTGAATCATTTCTTATCTGTTCCTATTCAAATTTGTATGAAGGTTTCCATGCATTGTTAGAGCCTCAGATGAATTCAATAGTCAGAAAATCAGAAATAATGAACTATTTTTCTCAGGAGCGTGACTTGTAAATATCCCATATAAGTTATGTGGGACAATGGGTATGTGACTTGTTCACTACTTGTTCTTTCATTAGTTCTGATCATAATAATAATGTCACATTTTTTATATGTTAACAATCTAATCGAGCTTTGGTAAATTTCTGTTTAATTTCTTCTTACAATATTGAACCATTATTGCTAGCTATATATAGAGACATGAAAATAATTTGAGTGCATGACTGCTTGGACATGCATGTTTTAGTGATTTTGTGTAATGATATGTGACAAACTGATGTACTTTAAAATGCAGTATGTATGTATTGCTCTCCTTAAATATGGTTAATGATCTTTTCACTACATGTTTGATTCTGCACGAAAACATGACATATATAATTTGAACATAGAAAGGACATTAAATCTCTATTCTTATCTTCTGTGATAAGTGTTTTCTAAATCTTATTTGGCTTGATATTCCATGTTTTGTCCTCAGTTTTTTCTTGTAAATCTAATAAAATTTTCTACAAGTACAGAATGAATGAGTTTTATGGCACGTTATGTAACATTTTTTGTGATTTGGGAATTGTCAATACAATTTCTTAAAGTTTAAAACTGTTGTTGACCGATTTCAATCATCAAATGATAGAACTGTAATAGATGTCATTAGAAAATCATTTAAAAGATCTTTGGAAATTGAAAATGTTCAGTGTTTCAAAGCTGTCATGATATTCAGATAGAAAATGTCACTGTGTGTCAGGTTTAAACAGAAGTAAAATTAAACAGGGCTATTTATTCCAGAGATTGACACACACAGAATCAATGATCAGTATAGTGCATCTTTAAACTCTTAATATTTTTTTCAAAGTGCTGTCAATTTGCACTTTACTACAGAGCAGAATTTACTAAATTCATGGCTTAAGGGAGATTACTCTAAAAGTATTTTTTTAAATTGAGAGTACCATAAGTAAATTCCTTTTGCTCAAACAAATGAGCCCACATTAAATGTAAATTAAAAATATCTCAAAATAGGATGAGCTCATAACAATCCATTTAATATCAAGCATTTTGCAGGTTTTTTCAATCTTTTATAATGATATTTGAAAATCACTTAAAATTGTAGAAAATCAATATTTTGGCGGGAGATTGTCTTTAAGCTAGGGGAGGAGAAAGAAAAAATTATCCAATACATATTTTGTAATATTTTGGCAGGAGATTGTCTTTAAGCTAGGGGAGGAGAAAGAAAAAATTATCCAATACATATTTTGTTCAAAATTTGGAATGTTCTGATAAGTAACATTTAATGTTTGAACTGATGTTTAAGGCATGTTGTTATTAGTAACCTTTTTGACATAAATGCTAGAATTCTGGGGGGAGAATTTTATTAATGTTTCAAAAAATTATCATGTATTTAGATCTACCTAAACAAAAAAAATCAATAAACAAATGCAGAATTTTTTTCTTGGAAAGAAATTAGAAAAAAATGAATTGACATTATAATAGCAAATGGTAATGAAATTGGCAAGGTTTTTAGAAATGTGTTTTTCTCTGGTTCAGGCTTCAGTACTTTTTTTTTAAATAGGATTCTTCAGAGAGTCACATAGACAATGAACAACCATCTGACCCACTTTATGCAGGTCCTAGTGGAGATGTTAGTTTTATCATGACTGATAGAGAATCATTGGAGAGAGGTCATACAAAGGGAGAGAAATTGAGTCAACATTCTTCTAATGAAGATCATTCTTCTAGTCAGACACATAGTAATGACCTGACTTCACCAAAAGAAGGTACTTCTTCACAAAGACCACGAAGATCTCGGACAAGCAAACAAGAATCATCATATCCTAAACCTGTCAGGTAAAATCTTAGAACAAGACTGGTTTTAACCATGAAGGAGTGAAGTTTTCATAACTGGCTTTGATCATCACTAATGTTGACCATTGCTTATCTGTCCATTTAGCCTTCTTTTGGTTTATAGATCAATCATATCCTCTACAATGCATCAAACATTTTGTAAATGTAATGGCATTTTATCTTAAAGTTTACTGGATTTCCTTTAGTCTCTGGTGTATAAAGTTGTCTCATTTGCAATCACACCAAATCTCCTTATTGATATTGTATGTTATTCTGTATATATAAAGAGATTTCTGGTATATATTACTTAGAGAGCATCTCAACAACACAAATAAACAAATGACATCTAGAGATCAGCATTATAGTTATTAATCATAGACAGATGTCTATGCAATATGTAAAGCTCTATTCACTAGAGTGGAAAAAGTAATGAACAGAGAGTACCTAAAAGATATACCTTTAAACATGACTAGTTAGCTGGTTATTTGTCTTAGGTTAAAACATGGAACTTCATTTTCTCCAACAAAGAACTTATCTGAATTTATAGATGATGAGATCACCTACAGGTATGCCATTATTTGTATATAATGGAGGCAGTAAGGAACCCTTACTATAGTAGATGTTTACTTCGTCCTGTTTACTATGATTTATAGGAGATGTGGAGTATATTTCAATGAGACAGCAACCCAACAATTGCTTTTCAACCATTTTCTACATAAGGAAATGCCTGAACCAAGTCAGGAATATGAGTTGTTTTCCATTTGTTTGTTGTGTTTTGATTTTTTGATTTTGCCATGTGAGAAGGGACTTTCCGTGTTGACTTTTCCTTGGAGTTGGTAATATTTTTTATTTTACTTTTTAATGATACATGAGTTTTACCATTACATTCAATTTTATGTTAAAACACCATTCTTGAACATTTACATCATTATAACTTCAAATTTTATTCTTGGTCAGCTTGTCTTAATTTAATTTTACATTACATCCAAGTTGTATATTGTTAACCTTGTTTTTAAGGCAAGGTAGCCCATGTCCTTAGACAAATCATCAAGGTTTTTTTCATGACCCTATAGTTAATGGTACAAAAGCAAATGTAGTATCGAATTGGAAAGAAGAAATGTTTTTATGAATAATATTTCAAATTTCCACTTTTGCAGTAAAAAATTCAAATGAATTATTGAATAAAAAATTGTTTTTTTTTTTATATTTTCAGTACATATGATAGAATAAGATTGATTTTAAAGCCATGGAAGAAGCCAGAAGGATTACTTAACAAACCAGTTTTTAAGATGATGATAGAATCTGTGATGTTATATGTGATGAT